ATTAAAACGAGGAACATTCCAATTTATTTGTACATTTATCTTTCGACCAAGTGTATTATCAACGCGTTGTTTGAACATTTTGACCAAATTTTAAAACTTTTCCACATTAATCCTCAAAGGAGAGTGGACGAAATATATGTAAGGGATTTGCGACTGGTAATTTTTGGGCAAAAAATGCATTGTTTTGTAAAGTGACACTCATTTCTGTACAGAATGAACCTGATCTCGTTAGATTTCAAAATTAAGAAGTGAGTTTAATATTTTTGAAAGTGTAAGAGTGTTTTTAGTAGTATGAACGTTAATTTATTCTAAATAATAAAGACATCTTGATACAGAATATGCAGAGAGAGAGAGAGAGAGAGAGAGAGAGAGAGAGAGAGAGAGAGAGAACACCCAGTGTTTTTGAAAAAAGCCCATTTTTAAATATATCGGGTTCGAATTACGGAAAGTGGAGAAACATCAAAGATAGGTTGTAACAAGTGGAAAACTAAAGTTAGTTCAAAAAAATCAATAGTCGTCCAATTCTCATGTCTATGCTATTTGAGAAACCGATCCTAGATGGATAAAGAATACGTCGTTGGTTCATTTGTCTTTCGATTTAAAAGTGTACACAGTTCATTCACGACCATCGCAGAAGCTAGCGGCAGAATACTAGACCTATGACGTATTGCGGACTCTGGAGAAATATGTTTAGACACGGAACAGCAGAAACAACCCTGTCCAGATATTGCCAAAAAAAAGAACCCTAGCCCTGAGCGACGTAAATTCACTGGTTGTTTTGTTTCTTGTTCATAACTGTAGTCTGCATTTCATTTTGTTAAAAATCTACCCTAATCCAACACATATAAAGAATGACTGACGTTTAAATTAATAAAAAGAAACATTCAGTATCTATAATGGCGAGAAAACACATCAATTTCCAGAAGTTTTTGCACATCGTTTGTCTATTGTAAAAATTAAAAATATGATACAAAGCAAAAATGGCAAAACGGAGGGAAAATTCAAAAGGTGGGTTTGAGATGGGAAGTTAGTGCCCGAGTGGATCGAGGTCACGAGAGATCAAGTGGTAGAGCAGCGGCGTATCTAGCCGAAGGTCGTGGGTTCGAATCCCGCTCGTGCATTAACTTTTTTTCATCTCAACTAAAAACTTTAATTAATTGTATTATACAAAGCAACTTATTTTAGAAATAAAAGACAATTTAGAAAATTAGAACTACAATTTACATTACAATTAACGAAATTATATTTAAAAAAGCGTCATACAACCAACTTATCGAATTAGTTTTTAAGATTTATTGCTTAAACGTAATCATCAACAACAAGGTTATGGGGGCGGCAGTGGCCGCAACGGTTTAGGCGTTGACACGGCGCTCATCACTGTAAGGTGAAGGCCCCGGGTTCGAATCCAGCGGCCTTGAATTTAAACCCGACATACTTACAAACATGTATTGTAAAATCTATCGAAAACTGTCACTCGATGTCATGTGATCCCAGGGGGGATACATTGAAAAACAGCAAAAATTTGCTACTCTGGTCTGTATCTTATGTGGCCTTGATGAAGACAATCTTAAGATTGAGCGAAGTATGACGAACCCAAATGTCCTTATCCTCCTCCACCATCAACATTTTAAACATCATCTAATTTAGGAAAGCATATGGATGTAGCCCTTTAAGCAACACACACACACACACACACACACACACACACACACACACACACATACATACATACATATATATATATATATATATATATATATATATCGAGTAATAAAATGTACCAGACGCCCTGAGAGGTGCTTTGACCAAAAGAGAGTGAGGATCCAACTCATGTCGTGTAGACGGTAGTACATGTCGGCTAAGTGGAAATTGATGATGAGGACAATTGAAAAAGGTAGAATAATTTCAAATTCCAGAGAAAACTCAGGTGCTGGATTAAATGGACCTGTGAGACCTAGAAGAAAGAAAGTTGTTGAACCCCAAATTGATCCCAACACACCCAAGAAATCGAAGAAGACCCCTGAGCGCATCATTCATTCTTTTGAAGAAAGGTGTTTTACATGTACCATCTAAAATTAGTAAGTTTTATTGTATATGTAGAATTTTTCGCCTGATAGGTATTAAAAATATCGGTATGTTACAAGAATGTAGGTACAATAAAATTATGATGAGAAAAAGTTATCTGAGATTCAGTGGTACAGTTGAATCTGCATTCGTAAGGAATTTATATATTTGTGTGGAAAATTTATATATTATTATTATTTCTGTCATGTTTGACATAGTATTAAATTATATTTAATAGCGGATAAATTTACCAAAGGGATTTCTTTCGTTTTTAGTCTTATTTAAAAAAAAGAATGCACACTGTTCAGTAGAATTGTATTTACACTTCAATTATTATTAAATATATACCTTTAATTAATCATTTCATTTTTATTATAAGGCTTTATAATTATGACACGTTTATTTTAATTTAGTCGAAAACGTTGAGTTTGAGATTTTTTTTCTGCACAGCAAAATTGTATTCAGATAGCAACTAGTGGCGGAAAGCCGACGAAGAGTAATGCCGCAGCCACTTTTCATCAAAGGTTTTTCCATCATTTACTTCGTTCCAGTTTTTCTCTTTCGGTGAAAGTTTTTTTTTTAAAAAGGTCTTTGTCAGTATAAAATGACGGCTGACCCTAAACCGAATGTCTTTAGGACCGCTGTCACGATCCTAACTCGATAAAAGCCCGGATACCTAGAGGCAGATTGCCCTGATCGAGAATCTCCCGGGAAAAAAGTACACAAAGAGAGAATTAAAAGTGGGATTTAATGGACGACTCGTTCGAGAACTTTTTTTTTATCTTCAGTTATAACTACGACAAGTTGTTCTGTAGATTGAACTATAATCTTGAAGACAACTCGTCGAACGGCGTGTCAAAGTTTTCAATGAAAAGAAAACAAAGTCACTATAAAGAAACAATATATGCGGAAAGGAATTACACGACAAAAACTTGCCTTAATGAATTAAATTCGGTTACAACTAACTGTGACATGGGCAGAGAGCAGTGAGAAAGCAAGGAGAGGAGAGCAAAGAAAACAAAGGTGAGAAAGAAAGAAAAAATAGTGTAAAGGAAAGTATGAAATTGAGTTAACAGAAAAGAGAGAGAGAGAGAGAGAGAGAGAGAGAGAGAGAGAGAGCAAAGAAAGCAAAGGTTAGAAAGAAAGAAAAAAATAGTGTAAAGGAAAGTATGAAATTGAGTTAACAGAAAAGAGAGAGAGAGAGAGCAAAGAAAGCAAAGGTGAGAAAGAAAGAAAAAAATAGTGTAAAGGAAAGTAAGAAATTGAGATAACAGAAAACAGACAGAGAGAGACAGAGAGAGAGAGAGAGAGAGAGAGAGAGAAATAGTGAGGGAGAGATAGATACTCTGTTTTAAGAGAAGATAAAAACCAAGCGCTGGTGTCCGGAGTTCGTGGTTTCGATTCCCGCTCGTGATCCTAATATTTCAACTAAACCAAGGCATAATAATTAAAGTAATTACTTTGAGTAATAAAAAAAATAAAAGCACAAAATAGTATAAAAAAAGAATACAACTTACTAAAAAAAAAAAAAAACGATTGTTCGTAAATCGTGAGATGCGGTCTGGTGTGACGTAGGTTTCAGAAAAACATTTTCTTTATCGTGCCAACGTTTCGATCATTATTGAGATCATCTTCAGGGCCTGGGATTTATAAACATTGTTTAAATTTTACAAATATATGTAGGATGTGAAAAAAATGAATTTATACATCGCTAGAAATTTTAGATTCAATCAAAGTATTTGTACGTTGTACTCAATAAAATTAAATACTTTGATTGAATCTAAAATTCCTAGCATTCTATAAATTAATTTTTTTCACATCCTACATGTATTTGTAAAATTTAAACAATGTTTATAAATCCCAGGCCCTGAAGATGATCTCAATAAAGATCGAAACGTTGACACGATAAAGGAAATGTTTTTTAATAAAAAAGTGTTGAAATGACGGTATTCTTAAATATTTATGAATTTAAACCGTGAAACAACACAAATTTGTCTTTTTTTCAATATTAATCATGTATCATAATTATTGAACTTATAATGTACAATGATTATTCAGAAATCGTGAGATGCGGTCTGGTGTGATGTAGGTTTCAGAAAAGCATTTTCTTTATCGTTCCAACGTTTCGATCTTTATTGAGAACATCTTCAGAGCTCAAAGTGTTTGTTTTCTTCGTAAGTGTGCCATTCTTGCGTGTCGTGTTGAGATTGAACGTTGGCACGATAAAGAAAATCTTTTTCTAAAACCTACGTCACACCAGACTGCATCTCACGAACTCCCAATAATCATTGACTAACGGTCACTAAACACCACACATTACTAAAAACATACTAAAACTTGTGAATTCTTTACATAAAATTCTCTCAATCAACTATGATGATCCATCTTAGCGTGAGACAAGTTAAAGGTACCGGATTTTAATGTATTCAGGAAGTTTCGGATAAGTTTTGAGCTGTTTCCTTATCTTTTTAAAATATTTATAAAAACACCGATTGGAAGTATTATAATTTTTGACCATGCAATATATTGACAATTATTTAGATTAATACCAACATGAACATTCAACATAGGAAATGACAGAATTTGTTGATTGATTTGTTATGTGTTTTGCATAGTATCGAAGGTAATACGAACCACTTGGCACATGAAATGAAGGTGAAACATTCAATTTATTGATATGTCACATTTTTCCTGCATAATTGTCATTGATTTAATGGAACGTATTCTCTGGCTGTCGCCTTTCGCCATATTGCCTTCAACCGATTTGATTTCCTTCCTAGATCAGATATCCATTACATGTTGACGTATCGAATAAAAGTTTTGAACGTTCCAGTCGGATGCTGTAACGTTGGAAGTTGGCGACGCGGAAAGTTGGGAGAATGGGCGTCCCCTACTTTGAAACTGGCCTCGACCAGCTCGATTAAGCCCAGCTCGATCCCATTGAGGATGGTTTTTCTTGTTCCAGAGGGCTTCACAGTCGAGCCTACAGCTTCAGCTGGCACCATCTCTGGAGCACCAGACGGCCGCCATGCTGTCAATTCTGGAACGGTACAAATGGCACAGGTTCTCTGTTGTTACATCGCAGATCGCAGGCCACGACGACTTCATCCAGGCGATCCGAGAACGCATTTCAGAAGTTCAAGACCGTTTCAAGTAAGTTGAAATCTTTATTAGCAGTATAATAAAATAACGACCGTCTTTACCCATAATTTAAATTCATGAGCCTCACACTAAGAAATAAAAGGTTTTGCATAAGAGGAAAGATAACCCCAGTTCAGTTCACCAATGCATGCCGGTTTTACAAATCATAATGTACAAGATAATTGGTAGGTAATCTTTTTATGTGAGGACTTGGTTGAAATGAAAAAATCAGTGTCACCAGGGGGATTCGAACTCAAGACCTAAGGTTAAATACGCCGCTGCTCTACCACTTGAGCTATCGTGACATCCATACACTTGGGCACCAATGGTGGTTCGATAAATATAATAATTTAATAATTGTTAGAGTTAACATTTTCATTTTCCGGAAACAGTTTATTTAGAAAATTCCTTCATATCAAACACATCATTCTTCTTTATTAGAGTTCTGCGTCTTCCAGTTAATGGAAGCTTATTTGTCCATTTATCATACGGTGAATAATTTTCGAAATATTCCTTTAAGGTCTATAAAACTTTTTTTCTACTCGTTCTTCTTATATAAAACTTTGTACTTATAAACGTTGCTTTTCAATTGCTACTCGTAAAGCAAATTAAATTAGGAATCTTTTTGTTTTATGTGCTCGAATGAATGAAATTTAGAAACGCGACAACGCCTTTTTCGAGACCCGCCTGACGAAGAATTAGGCCACGGTCTGATCTCATCTGCGCAACATTGTGAAAAGGAGACAAGGCACAACCTTTATTGGATCTCAGGTCTTTCAACCTTGCAGCAAATTGGAAGACAAAATTTATAATTGAAAAAAAAAAATGAAAAGAAATGTTTACTTTGAGGTGTGGTTTTACTTATACACCAAATATTAAAAAAATATAAATCCGTAAACATAAAACTGGTCATAGATATCCGGATAATATTTTATAGATTGTACTATCTCTAAAATTTACTATTGTTTGTTACAAAACAATATCGACTCGTTTCGTTTCAAATCACCATGAGGTTGTTTGATGACTTTTATGATGCTCAAAACTTATTCAAAGTACTAGTCGGGTTGAATACGTTGTTAATTTTTGTCACAAAGGTAATTTGGATATTTAAGCAATAATCCATACTAATTAAAAGAAAACAAAGATGCATTATAGGCAATCTTAATATATATGAAAAAAAGAAAAAGTGAATTTTTCTAGGAGTATTACCCCTTTCATAACGACCTAACTATCAAAGATTATTCCTAGGTATTTAACCTCTGCACCTTACATGTATTGTAACTAGCCTTTCGATTATTTTTGTTTTATCAAATTATTGTAAATTCAATAATAAATTTTATTGTATTTATTGGTCGCCGCAACGGTTTAGGCGTTGACACGGCGCTCATCACTGTAAGGTTAAGGTCCCGGGTTCAAATCCAGTGGCCCTTCATTCGTACCTGATATACTTACAAATGGTTTTTTTCTCAAAAACACCGGCACTCTGAGGGTTGATATGATCTCTGCTGTTGCAAACCCACGTTAAAAAAAAATAAAATTTAAAAAAATATTTATGAATTGAAAGGGTTTCCAATGGGGTCTTCATTATCCGAGTAACGATATATCAAAATATTTCAATCATCAATAAATTATAAGTTAAACAAACTTACAATATTATCTACAAAACTTTTGTTTTATTCGCTTCCGAACTAGAAAGGACGGTTTTTTTAATCTTGTTCGACTATGATCACGAAAATTCACTATGCTCAATGCTGTAATGAAATGTTTATCCTTGTTACACGTGTTAATTATTAATAATAGTTTAAAGTTCTGATGCAAGGTATGTATTTCTCAAAAGCTTGAAGAATAAACAGTATTATTTCTTCTCCTTCAAATTGTCCATATCGCTGATATTTTATTTGAAAATATATTTTTAATTTGCCTGGTATAAAAGTTGACTTTTTTGCTTATTTTACTCTTAAAGTATTATTTTTTTATGGAAAATGTGTCTTCTCTAGTTTACCGAAGATCGCTTCTGTTCCATCAATCGAGTGGAGATCCCTAGGCCATTTATTATCTCCTCTTCATTAATCATCCATCTCATCATTGCTCACGAATATTTCCTCCCATTAGTCATCATTTCATCCTTGCGTTTTTCGTCATTCTAAATTTGCAATAATTTCCAGAACATTTTTGTAAAAAAACGAAATAACCAAAAAATTAAAAGCTGACGTTTTCTTACCAAATGTTTGTACATATCTACTAAAGAAATTATTTACATAATCAATCACATTCAATTTGATTAAAATATTTAAAAATATCTTTTCCTTATTCAAAAACAAGAAAAAGTAAATTTTTATCAGTTAATGTCAATCAATTAGCACCAGAGAGATATTGCCAGATGATTTATAATAAAGATTCTTTATTTTGCATGCAAAATATTTTTATGAGTATATTTTTAATCGTTTTCATTGTTAACTACCTTCGGTCAAGTTATCGTTAACTCCTAATTTTTTTTTAAGAAGTTTCAAGTTAAATCCCTGGCACCCTGGCAAAATATAAGTATCTTTGTAATCATTTTATTCTTTTTTGTACTCCTTAAAATTAAAAACTATAGTTCAAGCAGCTATAAAAATAGTGACTTTTTATTTCCAAATGATCAACAGTAAACGAACTAATACCAATGAACCCAAAACCTCCAATGATATACCGTACGATCAAAATTCACAAGAAATACACACCTATAATACAAGTAGTGTTACAATTCTCCATGATAAAATCTCGGGATTAAAATTGATAAAATAATTAAAACTCACACCAATTTCAAACGTACATTCTTATTAACACTTGTTTAGAACCGATAAAAGAATTAAACAACATCTAAATACCTAAATTGATATTAATAATTTATTCATAAATATCCCGTTAAAGAATGTTCAAAACGCATAAAACTTACGAAGAATTTTATTAACGAATTTGTAAAAAATGATATAATAAACTTCTTAAATATATTCCTACTGTCAAATTATTGTAAATTCAATAATAAATTGTATGAAATGTAAGGATTACCAATTGGGTCTTTATTATCCCCACTTTGTGCCGAAATATTCACGAATAATTTTGAAAAACAAATATTTTATAATCAAACAGTAAATTAATTAAATTTGTCCTTTTTTTGGAAACGCCGTGTAAACGATATATTATGCATATGGTCAGGAACTTTAAAGGATATAAAAGAATTTCTCCAACTAATTAATTCATTATTTAATTTAAATTTTAGGTTGAAAATTAATAAAGATGGTTGTTTAAACAATTTAGATCTATAGTTGTCCATTTTAAACAACTTAATTTACATAGACTTATATAGAAAACCTACAACTACAGACACTATGATACCAGCGGATTCTTCTAATTCATTTTTCTTCTTATTATTCCTATAAAAATAACTCAATTAATTAAGGATTTTTGTTGAGATAAAAAAGTCAGTGTCACGAGAGGGATTCGAACCCACGACCTTCAGCTTGATACGCCGCCACTCTACCACTTGAGCTGTCGTGACTTCGATCCGCTCGGGCACTAACTTCCCATGTCAACCCCACCTTTTGAATTTTCCCTTCTTTTTGCCATTTTTCAACTGTCGTGTAATCTACTTGATTCTCGGCGACAAATGAAATGGCGAGGAAGAGCTTTAGTGAAGTGTACTTGATTTTTTAAATCATTAATTCACTACTTTCGTGGTCCGCTTGACCAATTAATACATGACAATTAATAAAGGTTTTTAGTTGAGATGAAAAAAAGTTAATGGCACGAGCGGGATTCGAACCCACGATCTTCGGCTAGATACGCCGCTGCTCTACCACTTGAGCTATCGTGACCTCGATCCCCTCGGACATCAACTTCCTATCTCAACCCCACCTTATGAGTTTTCTCTCTTTTTGCCATTTTTCAAATGTCGTGTAATCGGTTTAGATTCTCGACGGCAATTGAAATGGCGTGAAAAATTACTGTATTAACAATAATGGCTATCCATTATATGTAGTGGTCTATTGACCAAATTACTTCTTTCAATTAATTTTTTTTTTTTTTTGTAAGGTTTTGGTTGAAATGAAAAAGCTAGTGTAACGAGCGGGATTCGAACCCACGACCTTCGGCTCAATACGCCGATGGCCTAACCACTTGAGCTTTGAACCAGCTTGAGGAAGAGCTTTAGTGAAGTATAAATCATTTTAACTCATTAAATTCACTATTTTTCGTGGTCCGCTTGACCAATTAATATCATTCAATTAATTAAGGTTTTTAGTTGAGATAAAAAAGTCAGTGTCACGGGCGGGATTCGAACCCACGACCTTCGGCTTGATACGCCGCTACTCTACCACTTGAGCTATCGTGACACTGACGTTTTTATCTCAACTAAAAACCTTAATTAAAAGATATTTATTGGTCAAGCGGACCACGAAAACTAGTGAATTTAATAAGTTAAAATGAAGTATGTCTTAATTAATTTCTAATTATTTTCTTACAGTATTTATTAATATAATATTTAATTGTGTTATAATTACCACATTTGGTCGTCATTGCAATTGGTTTACTCTTACAATTCATAGCCCGAGAGGTGGTTGTATTCTTTAACCTGATGATGTATGTTTGATATACAAAACGTAGAAAATAACTATTCAATTAATCATACACAATTTTTTTTCGAAATGAAAAATTTGTGTCACAGCCGGGATTTGAACCCACGACTTAGAGAATAAATTAAACGTGGAAAATAACTAACTGTGAGTAGGAACTATCTTTGTAAAAAGATTGAACAACACCCCCACTCCACCATTTATCATTTCCATCATCATTTTAAACTGTACGTATGTACATTCAAAATCTCAAAAACGATTAAACTTAAATAAGATGGAATTTATGTGAGAAATTACGAGGCGTTTAATCACATATATCAGCTACTGGTTAAGAAATTTTCGCCGGCGTTCCAAGTGAAATGGAGTGCCGTAAAAATTGATACGAGCTGTCCACTTCCATAA